GCCTTCCCCCTCCAATCCCAACGCAGCCTCCGCGCTAAGTGTGCACCTCCCTGCGAGGCAGGGCAGCGCCTCCCCGCCGAGGCGTCGCTTGCTAAAGTCACATCCGTTACCATGCTCCCGCGCCCAAAGCACCCCGCATCTTCACCGCACAGCCTCCGACCTGTCTCCACGACTGTCACATGTCGTGGGCCGATGCAAACTGCGAGGACCGGGAAAGGAGAGCGGGCACTCACATACCAGAAAGTGGTGAGGGAGTGCAGAATGAGTGGCATGAATTTTAGGGGTTTCCATAATCAAGATGCCACCCCCCTCACCCCCAATACTTGTTCCAGGGATTATAGTCAGGTAATGAATTGCAGGTTGGCATGCGGTCTAGTTTTATTTACTCTTCGACTCGGGGAGGTAGTAGTTTATTGAACATTGTACGTGGTGAGTGCGAAAACTAATGCCAGCCGGGCCACCTGGTTCCATTTCAGTCCAGCCTGCGGGGCTTTTCCGCCCTCTCCTCGTGCTCAGCATTTCAGGCCACTGAAGGTTCCTAGTCTTGGGGCTTGGAGCTGAGCAATGCCCAGCACAAATCCAAGTTTGCAAGGAATTCAGGAAAATGGGCGGGGTGAGGTCGAAGGACCAGGGAAGCCCCCTCCTGGGGGTGGCGGGGGTCGTGATGGGTGATGACTCACAGGCGTTGTCAAGAAGCAGCTCTGGCCCAGGTCTTCACCTGGACTGTGCCTGCCTTGGAGCGCGTGTTAGGAATGCAGAGTATTGGGGCTCCACTGCCAGAAAGGCCGTATCAGTGGGATGCATTTTAACCAGCATCCCAGGGGATTCGGCTGCAGGGTGCCACGGACCACACTGGACAGGGCCGCGCCACTGCCCTCCGCCCAGCACAGTTGAGGCGAGGGACAGGAGTATTCGGAGAAGCTGTGCCAGGCGTCCTTTAGTAGGAGCGAGAACCTTCAGCCTGGGCTGGGCGTTGTCCGAGGGCCGGGGGCTGGTTGCGAGCAGGTCGCGCTGCGGTCGTCGGCCCGTAGGGGGCGTCAGCAGGCCGCCGCCTCCTGGCTCGTCCACCCTCCTCCCCACGTGGAAGGGGGCTGGGACCGAAAGAATGCGGCCCGCCCCGGGGCTGACGTGCGCGTCTCTGCCGGCCCCAACTCTTATAAGGCCGGGCAGTGAGCGGAGCATCCAGACTGAGCTGGAGAGGAGGCACGCAAGAGTGCCGGGTGGCCAGAGCGCGGCTGTCACTGCGCCCGAGTATCCCGGGTCTTCCCGGAGCTGACGAGCCGACCGCGCGGGGCAACCTCATCCCCGCGCCCCTCGCAGCGCCCGCCGAGCCCCCGCACGGGCGAGCGTCCAGGACTTAGCACAAAGCACGTTTCCCCAAGCAGCGCAGGGGGCGCCCGGCCGCGCGCCGGCGCACGTACCCCCTTTCCCCTTTGTTCCGAGGGTCGGCGGCCGTTCTCCTCCCCACGTCGCAATCCCCGCCCGGCGTGGCGAGCCGCCAAGTGCAGCTGCGAAGATGCCCTTGGAGCTGACCCAGAGCCGGGTGCAGAAGATCTGGGTGCCCGTCGACCACCGGCCCTCGTTGCCCAGATGTGAGTGCAGCTGCGCGGGGCCGGGCTGCAGGCTGCGCCGCGTGCAGGGCC